CACACACACACACACACATATATATATATATATATATATATATATTAAAGTGAACATGGATGTGAACACTCAGAGGCGACAGACTGTTTTCATGCTAAACGCAATCATCAGGTCACCATTGCGTCTGGCATGAAACAGCCTGTCGCCTCTGGAGTGTTTATCAATGTTCACTTTTATATTTACATACGCTCTATCTATGATATTGAGGACTTTATTCCATAAATAAACCCATAGCACGCCTTTTAAAACTATATATATATATATATATATATATATATATATATATATGTGTGTGTGTGTGTGTGTGTGTGTATATATATATATATATATATATATATATATATATATATATATATATATATGATGAAATATAGTTTGAATGTAAGCTATATTTACGGGTTACATTGATCAAATACATGATCTGGGTTAGAGCGCTTGTAAATATAAAAGTGGACATTGAAATCAACGCCCAGTGGTGACAGGATGTTTCTTGCGCTTAAGCGTGAAACAGATTGTCGCCTCTTCGTTATCCACACGCACACACACACAAACACGCACACGCACAAACACACACACATATATATATTTATATATATACGTATGTATATAGGAAATACGTTTGTATGTATGTATGTATGCATATAGATTTATTTATTTATTTTGAAACGACTTCAAGGTTTCGCGTACGCATCGCTTGTCACGACCATAAAAATCTATTGAATTATTCACAGAGATATTTATTTTCTACTGAAAAAACTCTAATATACTCCAAACATATAAAATATTCAAACAAAGTTATACATCTTTATATTACAGATACAATTATTTTCGATATATATATATATATATATATATATATATATATATATATATATATAAGTGAACATAAATCAACACTTAGAAGCGACAGTCTGTTTTATGCTAGACGCATTCATAAGGCCACAGTGGACTGGGTGATTTGTACACACACTCTACCTCTGATATTGAGCACTTCATCACCTTAAGACTATATTTCTTCATATATATATATATATATATATATATATATATATATATATATATATATATATATAAAATCGAAATATTAATATATTTATTTAAATTTAAATTTAATCAAAATTAAATATTTCGAAAAATGAAAACATTTTATAAAACATACATGCAACAAAATATTTCTTATTTTAACAGTTAAAATATAATCCTTGAAAATGGCTAAATGTATAGCCGAAAGCGCTCGGATAAAAAGAACATTCGGACAATTTTTATATAATTTATCATCCGAAAAGAAAACAAATTATTAGATCGCATGAGAAATTGTATAAAAAACTAAATAAAAGCTCCTTGTCTGTCGTTTTCAATGTAATGTGCATGAAAGAAGGATTGCTGCCTAAACACACACACACACACACACACACACATATATATATATATATATATATATATATATATATATATATATATATAGTCACTCTCCTGTCGAATTCGACGTATGAGGGTCAAGCAGATCAGTTCCCAGGAAACCGACAGCCCGACAACAGCACAGGAGATTTGATTATAGTAAAGGCTTCGTGCAGGACCATACACACTTTTTGAAGAGCCGAATTCAGAGACCTTGTGCACTAAGTGCCATAAGGTCCCCAAACGACCCTCCGCAGCTTTTTTGAGTTGTCCTTCTCCAGACCAGTTGCCATCCAAGGCTAAAGAACCCAGTCGGTCCTAAATTTACCCATAGCTGGAGGGAGAAGAAGAGAATTTTACCTTTCCCAGGGTATTAGCACGTAAGTGAATGTAATGGATTCGACTGAATTCGAACTCGGCACTCTTCATTCCTCAATCCAAATATATATATATATATATATATATATATATATATATATATATATATATATATATATATATATATATATATATATATATATATATATATATATATATATATATTCGTCGTTATAAAGGATATTTTTGTAAAATCTTTATGAATAATACTAAGTCATCAAATTAGTCATCAGTCATATAATTCTGAATATTAGAAAAACTTAAGTAATATTCAAAATTGACCATTATTTACTTATTTTAAAATTTCTTAGTTAATTATTTTAAAGATTTTATTTAATTATGCTAACTATGCCCAGAAAATATCAAACTTATTTTATACTAAATATCATGGCAACATTTATTTTCCAATTTATCAATTTTATAAATGTATTTATCGTAATTCCCCATGCATAATACGCATTTTTTTCTAAAAAATAATAAGCAAAATCATGGGTGCGTATTATGCACAGCTACAAAAAATCTTTAAAAATTTGCCGTAAAATAAAATAAGAATTATCATAAAACAAAATTAGAATAATATTATTCTATGTTTAAAACCATTTTTTAAAAATAGAAGTAGAAAACGCTGGCCGTAATGAAATTGGAGAGGTATAATTTATAGGGTTTGATTACCAAATAAGGGGTGCGTATTATGCATGAGCAGAAGCATTTTCCGACACTTTCAGCACAATTTTAGGGGTGCGTATTATGGATGAAGGCGTATGGGGAATTACGGTATATCAAAAATCAAATAAATCTTTATACATATTACCAACACTTATCTAATATTATTACAATATTATAAATACTGAATTAATGTATTTATTTACGTGGCCAAGTGGTTAGCACGTTCGATTTCTGACCATGAGACCCGGTTTCGAATCTCACCATGGTCGATTTGTCAGGAAGCTGACTTCTTGATGTTAGCGGTCTGGATTTCAGCATGCGTTACCTTTGGGTAAAGGTTTCTGAAAACCATATCACGGGATAACCCAGCCTTGTGAGTGAAATTGTGGAGACGGAACGTCACTGCTAGCAGGAAATCATAAGTCATCGTGGCCGCGGGCTTGAACGTGCTGGCCTTGTCCAAATTGTTGATCATGTTAGACAACGCACTCTCTCCCAGAAACTATAACTGAGGTTTGTTCAGTATAATTTCAGTATAAGCCCATCGGTGGGCAATCTGAGTGTTGAACAAAAACAAATGCGCCTGATCAGGCGTCTGTAACTGGGATTAGATAGCAGCCAAATAGGCAAGTGATCAACTATATATATATATACGCACACTTCAAAAATGTTCTCAAACATGAATTCTAGAATGTTCAGACTTAAACATTTTTATCAGTTTAACAATTACCAATAGGCGAGAGACAACATCCATATATATATATATATATATATATATACATATATCTATATATAATCACGATCCAATTCACCAGACCTACAAATTCATATTTACCGATTTCTTTTGAATTTGTAGGTCTGATGAATTGATCGTGATTACGATCAATGTAATCAATTATAAAGCTGTTTGAGCCTTTTATATTATATTTCTTATTCTGTCCTAGACACTGAGTTCTTCTTGGATTCTATCCTCTTGGGAATTTATATATATATATATATATATATATTTATACACACCCATAAGCACACACACACACACACACACACACACATATATATATATATATATATATATATATATATATATATATATATATACGCACACTAAAAATGTTTTCAAACAAAGAAATCTAGAATGTTCAGAATTAAACGTTTTATTAGTTTAAAATATAAAAAATGATCCACTAAATTATATGAACTGCCATTGGCTCTTATTATTTCTTGCAGGAGTGCGTTTCTGTAAAAAAAAGGAAGTCCCTTTTTCTCTTAAGCAAATTCGCCGCTCGAAATTGATCAAAAACTTAAATTCTTTATTTATAATCTTTTTCTATTCGTACTGAGATATCTATTGGTAAAAAAAAGAAACTATATTGAAGATCGAGCAATTTTTATCAAATGACGCACATAGTTATTCGGACAGGCCCAGATCTAAGCAGTCAGAAAAATGGACAAGTATTTCAATCAATTTAGCTCGGGAATAGAACATTAACTGATACTGATATAAGGACTGAAGTCAGTCAAAAACACAGATTGAAAATAAATGTAACTCATGGAAATTATCTAAAGCAAAAAAATATGAACATATTCAATCAACCGTTTCAGTGTGTCGTTTGTTTTCAGTGGAAATAAACAAATTTATAAACCTGTCCTTATAATGGAAGACTAATTTTTTTTTTGTCTGTATGATAAATACAAATGTGCGTGAGTCACTGTGTCGCACTTTTTCAACTTTACTCCTAGAGGCTGTAGCCTGACATATCATACCATTTGGGAATCAGGACGACTCTGAAGAATTAAAAAAAAATTACGGCTGGATTGGGACCCGCAACCATGAAATTTTGATTTTTCCAAATTATTATTACTGCGATTGTTTTCGGCGATATTTTACGTGATTTTTTGCGACAGGTTTTTTTTGTACAATAACAGTTTCTATTTACATATCACAATGTATATAAAACATCTCAGCATCACTGTTTAAAAAGCGTATCCGTAATGAGAGTTTAAGTTTCGTATTTAAATTTCGGCTTTAAGTTTCGTAGTTGTGACGCATTTTTCAGGATTAATTGGGAAATTAGTTTATTTTCACCAGAGAATCGACCTCACGGCAAATATTCGTACAGGAGATCACAACGATCTAAATCAATTCCTTTGAATCCAGACTCCAATATTGTCTTTTAATCTTCAGCATCTTTTCGACAAAATCATATATGCACATTCTTTCACGTTACTGACTTCTCAATATCGACAGATTACTTGAAAATCAATGATGACTGAAAGAATAAAGATAAAGGCAACAAATAATAGTAATTTTTGAATGGATTTTTTTTTATCCGACTTTATTTTCTGTTACTTTAAAAGATATTTTAGTGGCTTGACGCCTCTGTTTTCTTTTCTTTCAAAACTGTAAAGTTACAAACAAGCGAGGATTTCTACTAAAGAAAAATAACTAGAAGGCCGACTAAATTGTGCCTAAGACAGGAATCGAACCTTCATTCATATTTTCCATCAGATTTTGAAAGTTATTTTTCTTTTGGAGGAGACATAGGGAAAGGAGGAAACTAAAGTAAGAAAAAAGAATAAGAGAAGCGAAAGAAAGAAAGAAAGAAAGAAAGAATGAATGAGAGATAGGGGAGAGTAAAGTAAGAAAAAAGAAAGAAAGAAAGAGGGAGAGGGGAAAGTAAAGCAAGAAAAATGAATAAGAGAAGCGAAAGAAAGAAAGGAAATATGAATGAATGAAAGAAAGAATGAGGGGGAGGGGAACTAAAGAAAGAAAAAAGAATAGGAGAAGAGAAAGAAAGAAAGAAACTATAAATGAATGATGAAAGAAAAAATGAAGGGGAGGAACTAAAGTAAGAAAAAACGAATATGTGAAAGAAAGAAAGAAAGAAAGAAAGAAAGAAAGAACGAAAAGAAAAATGAATGAGAGAGAGGGAGAACTAAAGTAAGAATAAAGAATATAAGAAAGAAAGGAAAAAGAAAGAATAAACAAAGAAACAAACAAAAGAAAGGAGAAAGAAAGAAAGAAAGAAAGAAAGAAAGAAAGGAAGAAAGAAAGAAAGAACGAAAGAAAGAAAAAAGGAAAGAATGCAAAGGATATATCAGGTTAAAAAAAGTATGATAATAAAGAATAAAGAAAAGAAAAAGAAAGAAAGAAAGAAAAAAAGAAAGAAAAAAGAATGAGGGAGAAAGAACTAAAAAAAGAAATAAAGAAAAGAAAGAAAGAAAGAAAGAAAAGAAAGAAAGAAAGAAAGAAAGAAAATGGAGAAGAAAAAATAAAATAAAGAATATAAGAAAAAAAAAGAAAGAAAGAAAAAAGAAAAAAAAATGAATGAGGGAGAGGTAGAACTAAAAAGAATAAAGAATAAAGAAAATAAGAAAAGAAAAGAAAAAAGAAAGAAAAAAATGAAAGAAAGAAAGAAAGAAAAATGAATGAGGAAGAGGTAAAAAAAAAAAAGAATAAAGAATATAAAAAAAAAGAAATAAAGAAAGAAAGAAAGAAAGAAAGAAAAAAAAATGAATGAGGGAGAGGTAGAACTAAAAGTAAGAATAAAGAATATAAGAAAAGAAAAAAAAAAGAAAAAAAAAAAAAAAAGAAAAGAAAACTAAAGTAAGAATAAAGAATATAAGAAAAGAAAAAGAAAGAAAGAAAAAAAAGAAAAAGAAAGAAAGAAAGAAAATGAATGAGGGAGAAAGAACTAAAAATAAAAAATAAAAAAAAAAAGAATAAAAAGAAAAGAAAGAAAAAAGTAAATAAAAGAAAAGAAAGAAAGAAAAAAAAAATGAATGAGGAGAGGTAGAACTAAAGTAAGAATAAAGAATATAAGAAAAGAAAAAGAAAGAAAGAAAGAAAAAGAAAGAAAAAGAAAAAAAAATGAATGAGGGAGAGGTAGAACTAAAGTAAGAATAAAGAATATAAGAAAAAAGAAAGAAAGAAAAGAAAAAAAGATGAATGAGGAAAAGAACTGAATAAAGAATATAAGAAAAGAAAGAAATAAATAAAGAAAGAAAGAAAGAAAAATGAATGAATAAAAGAATATAAGAATAAAGAAAAAAGAAAAGAAAAAAAGAAAGAAAGAAAGAAAGAAAAATGAATGAGGGGAGAGGTAGAACTAAAGTAAGAATAAAGAATAAGAAAAAAAAAGAAAGAAATAAATAAAAAAAGAAAGAAAGAAAATGAATGAAAGGTAGAACTAAAGTAAGAATAAAGAATATAAGAAAAGAAAGAAAGAAAGAAAGAAAGAAAAGAAAGAAAAATGAATGAGGGAGAGGTAGAACTAAAGTAAGAATAAAGAATATAAGAAAAGAAAGAAAGAAAGAAAAAAAATGAAAGAAGGTAAACTAAAGAAAGAATAAAATGAATGAGAAAAGAAAGAAATAAAGAAAAGAAAGAAAGAATGAGGAGATAAAGAATAAAGAATATAAGAAAAAAAGAAAGAAAAAGAAAGAAAATGAATGAGGGAGAGGTAGAACTAAAAGTAAGAATAAAGAATATAAGAAAAGAAAGAAAGAAAAGAAAGAAAAGAAAGAAAGGAAAATGAATGAGGGAGAGGTAGAACTAAAAGAACTAAAGAATATAAGAAAAGAAAGAAATAAAGAAAGAAAGAAAGAAAAAAATGAATGAAGAAAGAAAAAGAAAATAAAGAAAAGAAAAAGAAAGAAAAAAAAAAATGAATGAGGGAGAGGTAGAAGATAAAGTAAGAACTAAAGAAAAGAATAAAAAGAAAGAAAAAGAAGAAAAAATGAATGAGGAGAGGTAAACTAAAAAGTAAGAATAAAGAAAAAAAAGAAAGAAAGAAAGAAAGAAAAAAGAAAAATGAATGGGGAGAGGTAGAACTAAAGTAAGAATAAAGAATATAAGAAAAGAAAGAAATAAAGAAAGAAAAAAGAAAGAAAGAAAAATGAATGAGGGAGAGGCAGAACTAAAAGTGAATAAAGAATAAAGAATATAAAGAAAAAAAAAAAAAAAAAGGGAAAGAAAGAAAATAAAGAATATAAGAAAAGAAAGAAAAAAAAATGAATGAGGAGAGGTAGAACTAAAGTAAGAATAAAGAATATAGAAAGAAAAAACTAAAGAAAGAAAAGAAAATAAAGAAAGAAAGAAAAAGAAAAATGAATGAGGGAGAGGTAGAACTAAAGTAAGAATAAAGAATATAAGAAAAGAAAGAAATAAATAAAGAAAGAAAGAAAGAAAAATGAATGAGGGAGAGGTAGAACTAAAGTAAGAATAAAGAATATAAGAAAAGAAAGAAATAAAGAAAGAAAGAAAGAAAGAAAGAAAAATGAATGAGGGAGAGGTAGAACTAAAGTAAGAATAAAGAATATAAGAAAAGAAAGAAAGAAAGAAAGAAAGAAAAAAGAAAAGAAAATGAATGAAAATGAATGGAGAGGTAGAACTAAAGTAAGAATAAAAATATAAAGAAAGAAAGAAAGAAAGAAAGAAAGAAAGAAAGAAAAATGAATGAGGGAGAGGTAGAACTAAAGTAAGAATAAAGAATATAAGAAAAGAAAGAAAAAAAAGAAAGAAAAAAGAAAAAATGAATGAGGGAGAGGTAGAACTAAAAGTAAGAATAAAGAATATAAAAAAGAAAAAAGAAAAAATAAAAAAAGAAAGAAAAAATGAATGAAGAAAACTAAAGTAAGAATAAAGAATATAAGAAAAGAAAAGAAAGAAAAGAAAGAAAATGAATGAGGGAGAGAGAACTAAAGTAAGAATAAAGAATATAAGAAAAGAAAGAAAAGAAAGAAAGAAAAAAAAAAAAAAATGAATGAGGGAGAGGTAGAACTAAAGTAAGAATAAAGAATATAAGAAAAAAGAAAAAAAAATAAATGAAAGAAAGAAAGAAAAGAAAGAAAAATGAATGAGGGAGAAAAGTAGAACTAAAGTAAGAATAAAAGAATATAAGAAAAGAAAATAAAAATAAAAGAAAATAAAGAAAGAAAGAAAAAAGAAAGAAAAAAATGAATGAGGGAGAGGTAGAACTAAAAGAATAAGAATAAAGAAAAGATATAAGAAAAAAGAAAGAAAAAAGAAAGAAAGAAAAATGAAAGGAAAGAAAAGAAAGAAAAAAAAAAAAAAAAAAAGAAATAAAGAAAGAAAAAGAAAGAAAGAAAGAAAAATGAATGAGGAGAGGTAGAACTAAAGTAAGAATAAAGAATATAAGAAAAGAAAGAAAGAAATAAAGAAAAGAAAAGAAAAAAGAAAAAAATGAATGAGGGAGAGGTAGAACTAAAGTAAGAATAAAGAATATAAGAAAAGAAAAGAAATAAAGAAAAGAAAAAAAAAAAAATGAATGAATGAGAGAGGTAGAACTAAAGTAAGAATAAAGAATATAAGAAAAGAAAGAAATAAAGAAAGAAAGAAAAAAGAAAGAAAATGAATGAGGGAGAGGTAGAACTAAAGTAAGAATAAAGAATATAAGAAAAGAAAAAAGAAATAAAGAAAGAAAAAAAAGAAAATGAATAAAGAAAGAAAGAAAAGAAAGAAAAAGAAAAAGAAAGAAAAAAAAAAAAAATGAATGAGGGAGAGAGTAGAACTAAAGTAAGAATAAAGAATATAAGAAAAGAAAGAAAGAAAGAAAAAAAAGAAAAGAAAAATGAATGAGGGAGAGGTAGAACTAAAGTAAGAATAAAAGAATATAAAAAAAAAGAAAGAAAGAAAGAAAGAAAAATGAAATGAAAAACTAAAGAAAGAAAAGAATGAATGAAAGGGAAAGGTAATGAACTAAAGTAAGAATAAAAGAATATAAGAAAAGAAAGAAAGAAAAAAAGAAAGAAAGAAAATGAAAAGAGGTAAAGAAAGAATAAAAAGAAAAAAAGAAAAGAAAAAAGAAAAAAGAAATGAGGGAGAGGTAGAACTAAAGTAAGAATAAAGAATAAAAGAAAAAAAGAAAGAAAGAAAGAAAAAAAGAAAATGAATGAGGGAGAGGTAGAACTAAAAGTAAGAATAAAGAATATAAGAAAAGAAAGAAAGAAAGAAAGAAAGAAAAATGAAAGTGAGAGGTAGAAAAAGTAAGAATAAAAAAAGAAAAAAAAGAAAAAAAGAAAGAAAAAAAATGAATGAGGGAGAGGTAGAACTAAAGTAAGAATAAAGAATATAAGAAAAGAAAGAAAGAAAGAAAGAAAAAAAAAGAAAATGAAAAAGAAAGAAAGAATAAAAATGAAAAGGAAAGAAAGAAAAAAAAAGAAAATGAATAAAGAGATATAAGAAAAAAAAGAAAGAAAAAAAAGAAAGAAAATAAAGGGAAAGAAAAGAAAAAAATAAGAAAAGAAAGAAAGAAAGAAAGAAAAATGAATGAGGGAGAGGTAGAACTAAAGTAAGAATAAAGAATATAAGAAAAGAAAGAAATAAAGAAAGAAAGAAAGAAAGAAAAATGAATGAGGGAGAGGTAGAACTAAAGTAAGAATAAAGAATATAAGAAAAGAAAGAAAGAAAGAAAGAAAGAAAGAAAAATGAATGAGTGAAAAAGAAAATAAAGAATATAAGAAAAGAAAAAAGAAAATGAAAGAAAGAAAAATGAATGAGAGGTAGAACTAAAGTAAGAATAAAGAATATAAGAAAAAGAAAAAAAAAAAAGAAGAAAAGAAAGAAAAATGAATGAGGGAGAGGTAGAACTAAAGTAAGAATAAAGAATATAAGAAAAGAAAGAAAAAAGAAAAAAAAAGAAAAAAAATGAATGAGGGAGAGGTAGAACTAAAAAGTAAGAATAAAAAGAATATAAGAAAAAGAAAGAAAAGAAAGAAAGAAAGAAAAATGAATGAGGGAGAGGTAGAACTAAAATAAGAATAAAAGAATATAAGAATATAAAGAAAGAAAGAAAGAAAGAAAAATGAATGAAGGTAAACTAAAGTAAGAATAAAGAATATAAGAAAGAAAGAAAGAAAGAAAATGAAAAGAAAATGAATGAGGGAGAGGTAGAACTAAAATAAGAATAAGAATAAAGAATATAAGAAAAGAAAAGAAAGAAAGAAAAAATGAGAGAAAGAAAGAAAAAAATATAAAAAAGAAAAAAAAAGAAAGAAAGAAAAAGAAAAATGAATGAGGGAGAGGTAGAACTAAAGTAAGAATAAAGAATATAAGAAAAAGAAAAGAAAAAAAGAAAGAAAGAAAATGAAAATGAATGAGGGAGAGTAGAACTAAAGTAAGAATAAAGAATATAAGAAAAGAAAAAAGAAAGAAAGAAAGAAAGAAAGAAAAATGAATGAGGGAGAGGTAGAACTAAAGTAAGAATAAAGAATATAAGAAAAGAAAGAAAGAAAGAAAGAAAGAAAAATGAATGAGGGAGAGGTAGAACTAAAGTAAGAATAAAGAATATAAGAAAAAGAAAAGAAAAGAAAGAAAGAAAAGAAAAAAAAAAATGAATGGAGAGGTAGAACTAAAAGTAAGAATAAAGAATATAAGAAAAAGAAAAGAAAAGAAAAAAAAGAAATGAAGAGGTAAACTAAAAAGAATAAAGAATATAAGAAAAAAGAAAGAAATAAAGAAAAAATGAAAGGTAAACTAAAGAAAATAAAGAAAAAGAAAAGAACGAAAGAATGAAAGAAAGGAGGAAATAAAGAAAGAAAAGAAAGTAAAGAATAAAACGAATAAGAGAAGGGGGAAAGAAAGGAAATATAAATGAAAGAAAGAAAGAAAGAAATAAAAAGAAAGAAAAGAAAGACTAAAGAAAAAGAAAGAAAAAAGAATATGAGAAAGGGAGAAAGAAAGAAAAATGAATGAGGGAGAGGGAGAACTAAAGTCAGAATAAAGAATATTATAAAATAAATAAATAAAGAAAGAAAGAATGAGGGAGAGGGGGATGAAAGAAAGAAAACGAGAAACAAAAAGAAACAAAGGCGTATGACCATATCTCGTTGAAACATTGCTTCCCGTACGATCATCGAAGTTAAGCAACGTCGATCCTGGTCACTAACTAGATGGGTGGCCACTTGGGAATACCAGGTACAGTAAGCTTGGGTGTGCGGGTGGTGTAATGGATAATGGCTTGGAATTGTTAATCGGAGAGCTGAGTTCACATTCCCGTTGGGTTCGTTATATTCACTTGAGAATGCGATGAACCCACCACTTCTCCCAAAGTTGTGGGTTAAAAAGTAAGATTTATATCATTAAAACATCATTATCTCCCCGACCCACATTCCTACAAAAATATTTTCTGACTTTAAATAAGCTGCAAAGGGTTGATAAATCATAAAAAATGAATCAACCAGCCGTTAGTACGAGTTCTCAATTTAGGCCTGTTGTTAATAATTACACTAATTAAGAAAATTGAAAAAAAAACAGGGATAGTAACTGCAGTAACTATGTGGTCATTAAAAGTAACGATTAATCACTAAAAGTAACTGAAATATATGGAATGATTACAGCAATAAGAAACGATGTCGGATTATATATAATATTATATATATATATTTTCATATATATAATATATATATAATATTATTATATATATTATATATAATAATATTATATATAATTTATATATAATATTAGTATATATATTATATAATTATATAATAATGTATTATAAAATATATATATATATATATATAAATATATATATATATATATAATAATATTTTATGTATATATATATATATATAATATTATTTATATATATATATATATATTATTATATGTATATATATATATATTATATATATTATATAAAATATATATTATATATATAATATATATATATTATATATATATTATTATATATATCATAATATTATATATATCATACGGATTATATATATTATTATTATATATATAATATTATATATATATTATATATAATAATATTATATATATAATTATCATTATATACATATTATTATATATAATAATAATTATATAATAATATATAATTATATAATATTTTTATATATAATTTATGTTATATATAAAAATAACGTTTATAGTCACAATAAATAATAGTTGAAATTGTAAAATATTTCACCTCACAAACGAAAGGAATATATCTACAGGGGATGGACAAAATAATTGGAACAGTTGCAAATTCCACTCCTATATTTCAAAGGCCGATTATATTAAGAACTTTAACAAAAATTATTAATTGCAGTTCATATCTATTGTAAATACGTTTATTTATCTAATTTACAGTCTTTGTTTTATTTATTTTTAGAATTTAGTAAAATTTAAGCTAAATGCCTGACCTCTTCGGGTTCGATAAAGAGCAAATTTTTGGAGTTCGTATGGCAGGAGCCTCGATCACTAAGGTTGCTGAACTGTTTGGTTTTTCAAGAGCTACCATATCAAGAACACTGATGCAATTCGAGAAACAGGGGAAGACCTCTAGCAACCGTAGCAATTCGGGCCGGATTTGCAAATTTACTGACAGGGACTGACGTGCATTGAAACGCAATGTGGCAAAAAATCATCGGACTACTGCGACAAAAGTGACTTCTGAGTTGAATAATCATCTGAATAGTTCAGTTTCTACTAAAACTGTTCATCGTGAGCTCCATAAGGCTGCATATCATGGAAGAGCCGCCGTAAAAGAAACCTCTTCTTTCGACTCCTGTTGGGCAAAAAGGGTTGATGTGGTGCAGAGATCACAATGCCTGGTCTGCAGACCAATGAAAGCAAGTCATATTCTCAAACAAGTCCAGTTTTTCTCTTTTCCCAACTTCAGGGTGAGTTTATGTGTGGAGACAGCCCAAAGAAGCTTACAACCCTGACTGCCTTCTTCCAACAGTGAAGCATGGAGGTGCATCAGTGATAGTTTGGTCCGCCATATCATGGAAATGTCTCGGTCCAATAGTTGCCCTGCATGATAGAATCAACAGCAAAGATTACCTGAACATTATGGGAGATCCTGTTCATCCAATAGCCAAGACTTTATTCCATGATGGTGACTGCATCTTCCAAGACGATAATGCTCCAATACATACCGCTCGAGTGGTTAAGAATTGGTATGAAGAGCATAAAAGTGAGCTAGAACACATGGAGTAGCCTCCCCAATCTCCAGACATCAATATTATTGAACATTTGTGGTGCATTTTGGAGCAACAAGTTAGGAGCCGCTATCCTCCACCGTCGTGTCGTAAAGACATGGAGAAGGTTTTAATGGAAGAATGACTGAAAATTACTCTGGATGAAGTCAGGAAGCTGTATGATTCCATTCCTAGACGTATTAAAGCTGTATGTGAGGCTAAAGGAGGACCAACTCCATATTAAATAAATTTTCTTTGAAATTAATAAATGTTTCAATTATTTTGTCCAACTCCTGTATATAATAAATACTAATGTTAGTATGTCGCACTTTTTTAATTAAAGGGACACAACTCTCATTTGCTCATCTCCTTCGTTGAACTTTTAAAGGTAAGTATAAATCTTAATAGAATACATAAATGCAGCGATCAATTTTTAGTTAATTTGTAGTTTACTATTGTCCTTACCTGTTGTGATGAAAGCCTTATCAAGAGACTTACAATCTAAAAATATTTTATGGCTTTAAATACCCTTTAAAAGCCGTAAAAATCAAACCAATCGACCAAATGAAGATTACATGCTGAAGGGAGTAGTTAGATAGCATACAATAAGAATTCCTTCAGCACGTAGTCTTGATTTGAGTGATTACTTTGGTTTTTACGGCTTATCAACCTTTTAAAGGGTATTTAAAACCAGAAAATATTTTTAGATTGTAAGAATCTTTTGGAGATAATAATGATTTACTGTTACAAGTCTTACTCATTAACCCAGATGTGGCACCATGCATCCTGACGATTTGAAAGAAATATTCATAGATATATGATTTGTTTTTTACGGTTTATCAACCATTTAATAATTATTTAAGGCCGAAAAATATTTGAGGTTTTAAGAATAATTCTTTCTTTACATTCAAGCGATTTGGGAGAAAGAAAGAGAAAACAAAGAAAAAAGAAAGAAAAAATAATACGAAAACGGGTCATAGGCGAACACACACAAACACGGCTAGAATTGATAGGTAGCAGTTGTCGAAAATATCTAGGTCACCTACGAACAAGCATTTGACCGATTTCCGCGTGTCCACGAAAAATGGAATTTTGTTATCAATTGGATGTCGCCCAAGGAAAAGAAAGACCATTGTTGAACATTGACGAAACATAGACAGTCTTCAGAATTAGAAAAATCCCACACAAGAAGTTTTCACTGGCAAAATTTTTCTTTCTTTTGACAGAATAAACGCTTGCCCTGCGATAATAAAGATTTTCGTTATCCACACATGAGCCGAGAGGAAAATGAAATATTTTTATTTCGCTTCAGAAACGCCAGCTAGCCTAGGAAATTCCTTTCTTGGATCATGTCCAATTAGCGATAAACTGCTTGACAAATACCACGTGTTAAAAAGCCGAGAGTGTCATCTCAGTCGCTCATGATAAGGGCGATTTAATTAATATTTTTTTTTGTTAAGCAAGGTATTTCTTTCCCTAAACAAAACCGCGGATTGTTCACGCCCGACTAAGACGTCATTGGCCAAGTAGATCACATGAAACACGAAGGAGGAGGAAAGATACCCGACTAAGACGTCATTGGCCAAGTAGATCACATGACGCACGAAGGAGGAGGAAAGATACCCGACCAGGACCTCATTGGCCGAGAGCGGTCACGTGACGCACGAAGAAAATCGGTCGACGCCTCTCTCAGAAGTGTAAGTGTGAGGAGCCGATACGAAGAAGTGGGGAAGTTAGTGCACGCCTTTCAGAAGCACAGTAAAGAGTGGGAGTGAGAGGAAAGTTACCGAAAATGGAAAAGAGTAAAAAATCCCTAACCAGAAATAAGAAAGGTGGAGACGATTTAGAATTATCGAAGAACCCCTGGTGCCGACAGACCCACCCCAGTTTTGACGGCGTCAATAAAAGAACCCAACCGACAGAAATCAGTTCGTTCGCCCCAAGCGGGCAGAAGAGGCCAGTTCGTTTGGCCTGAGTGCCGAGTTTTATCGCCCCAAGCGGGCGAGAAGAAGTTCGTTCGACCCAAGCTGGCGAGAAGAAGTTCGTTCGACCCAAGCTGGCGAGAAGAAGTTAGTTCGCGCACCGGCGGCAGAGATGAGTGCCCAGTAACTCAGACTCGGGAGAGAAGAAGTTCGTTCGACCCAAGCTGGAGAGAAGTTTGAGTTCAGCCGCGGACCCTGGCGAGAAGTTTTGAGCTTGGACGACAAGCAGAGATGAGCGCCCAGTGTTGAAACCGCGTCAAGATAGCTGACCAAGATTCACACACACTTTTGGACTCTTCTTCAACCAAGAACAAGTAGTTTGAAGAGCGACTTAGAATCAGACCACAGAAATAAGTTTTTCGACTTTCGTCCAAAGACACACCGAAACACAAATTTCTTAGAGAGCAGACAACTTGAAGCCTTAAAGTTTGCCTAGCGAAAGCGTCATGCCACAATCCACAGAACGGGTCGGGAAGTAGACATAGTCCTATGTACCGAACAAATAGACATAAAAGTTTGTTACCTTTTTCTTTGATACTTTGGACTTTGTGAGTTTTCATTTTCTTTTCTTTTATCCATAATTGTGTGTTATCACCCCCGTTGAACTCAGCTTGCATTACGGCCCCAACCCCTGTTTGATCTCGTCTGTCTAAGATCAATTCACAGCGTGGGTAGACAGACTGGGGATCAGTATCAGTGCAGTTACCCTGGTAACCAGGCGTTGGAAGCGGGTTGGGAACGGCGAGGCTGGTATCAATCTAAACAGATTCCTACCCGAATCACCAAAGGGTTAGAACGTCACGTTTGGAGCAGCGAGGAGCGAACAGCTGACGCCGCGGCGAAGACGTCACAATTGGTGCTGTTTGGAGACGTCACATCTGACGCCGTGACCGGGACATCAGAGCCTGGGGAAGCCACGTGACGTCACATCTGGCGCCGTGGTGGATCAGGATAGAACGACACAGTCGGCGCTGCGACCGGGGGACGACGTCACACAGAGTCGGGAGGAGAAGAGATGGGTTCGTACCTTTTCCAAGGGTAACTGCGCATAGGCAAACATAGGGAATCCGACTGAAATGAAACTCAATTCCGAATCTCTATCTGTTATTTCCAAGTGGTCACTCATCTAGTCACTGACCAGGCTCAGCCTTGCTTAACTTCGGTGATCATACGGGTACCGGTGATATGTTCAGGATGTCGGCGATCATTACTCTACAGACTCGTTTTCTTTATTGTCTGTTAATTCAATATCACTAAGGGACACTTGTTCTAAGATGAGTTGATCTGCGACAACCCAATGGCCTCCTCTCATATATTACCGATATAGGCCTATATTGGTACACTTGACCATTAGAGAAGCCAGATGCATCATCTGGTTCACCTGAAAGACACATTCTTACCTTGACTGGATGTCAGTGGCTGCGCACAACGTTTACACAAATGGTTAACACAGCTGCGATGTTCAGACTTGGGACAACCGATGACAGGAAGATATATAAGGACCCACCTGAGAGGGAAAAAACAATGGTCCTTTACATTCGCCCGGAGAAGATGCATCCACATTCGGGAAAAGCTCCCAAAGCCACAGACGTATTTTAAGGTTTATTATCGTGTTCTTAGTCTGGAAAATGATGACGCCTCCTGTTTTATTATATTGTCCCACAAGATTGGAGGCAGATTTTTATAGCATGGTACCATGGGTGGAAGCTGTTATGACTTATAATATGTTAGCTGCAGTCTGGAAGAAACCTGTCTGACATGAAAGTGCATGCGATGCTGAGATATTTCTCTGAATTCTCCCATGCAGAAAAATTGCAATTATTTGGATTCATCATCGCTTGCAGAATGTTTACAGAGACCAAACAGTGGATGTAAGCATAGTTAAGCGGTTGATAATAATGCAATTCAGCAGTGGTGGCATTGATAAAACGCTGCTGTTGATTGCCGTTAAAATGCATAGCCACTGGCGATGACGATATCTAAAAAAAAAGGTGAAATGTTGGTTCTCCTTCTGTTGGTTATATCTTTTGTGGAAATAAATACGAGAAATAAATAATTTTTTTCGAGATAAGTATTATGAAATTATTTACATTATTCGGACTGTGTCCTCATCTTTTTCTGAGATTTTTTTCAGTATCTGTCTATATTTCTGAGATGAGGTATTTTACATTATTCGGACTATTGTCCTCATCTTTGTCGCCATATTTATTACAACGTTTCAGCCTTTCAGTATCTGTCTATATTTCTGAGATGAGATATTATCTTTGTCGCCATATTTATTACAACGTTTCGGCCCTTTCAGTTTGTCTACATTATTCAATTCGGATTGTTGTCCTCATCTTTGTTACCATATTTATTACAACGTTTCGGCCTTTCAGTATCTGTCTATATTTCTGAGATGAGGTATTATGGACACTATTTACATTATTCGGACTATTGTCCTTATCTTTGTCGCCATATTTATTACAACGTTTCGGCCTTTCAGTATCTGTCTATATTTCTGAGATGAGGTATTATGTACACTATTTACATTATTAGGACTATTGTCCTCTTCTTTGTCGCCATATTTATTATTTCGGAGTATCTGTCTATATTTCTGAGATGAGGTATTATGTATACTATTTACATTATTCGGACTATTGTCCTCATCTTTGTCGCCATATTTATTACAAGGTTTCGGCCTTTCAGTATCTGTCTATATTTCTGAGATGAGGTATTATGTATACTATTTACATTATTCGAACTATTGTCCTTCTTTGTCGCCATATTATTCCTTTCAGTATCTGTCTATATTTCTGAGATGTCCCTATGTACACTATTTACTTTTCGGATTATTGTCCTCATCTTTGTCGCCATATTTATTACCACGTTTCGGCCTTTCAGTATCTGTCGAGCGGACTATTGTCCTCATCTTTGTCGCCATATTTATTACAACGTTTCGACCTTTCAGTATCTGTTTATATTTCTAGGATGAGGTATTATGTAAACTATTTACATTATTCGGATCATTGTCTTCATCTTTGTCGCCACATTTATTACAACATTTCGGCAGTTGCACGCTCCGGCCTTCTTCAGGTGATTAGAATGTCGAACTGAACTCTTTATTTCGCTCACTGGGGTAGACTGTTTTAGTTCCACGTGCCATGTTTAATGGATGTTACACATTGGATAAAGGCGTTGGTTAAATCCAGTGACAGAACCCAAAGAGTTGTGAGTTCAGTACCCGTGTAAGGCAGTGGAGAACTTGGAGAGGGAAATTAACAGGAGATACCTGATAACTGACAATATGGCAACAAAGATGAGGACAATAGTCCGAATAATCTAAATAATGTAGAGAAAATGGATACCAATTATCACCCTTTACTTAAGACAGAGTCATGAGGCTCACGTGATATCCGGTAAGTGACCTCGGTTTGTGGGGATTGTCAGTACATCAGTTGCTATTTAGTATGAGTACAGGCAATACATGCCTGTCCATGCCATTTAGTGATGATAGACCGTTAGGCGTCATCTCAGCGTTAAGGAGAAAAGAAGAGCCCACATAGTGATTCGAAGAGCATACCACAGATCTGCCTATTTTCCTTTCGGGAAATATTACGAGTAAGTCCCTCTCGCTCTTTACCTTTCCACTTCTGGGAATTAAGGTGTTACTATATCACGGATATGATAATACCAGGAACGGGGAAATGGTAACCGGAAATATTTCTCTTGCTTAAGGGATATTACTTTCGGAGCATCACTCATAACAGTATATAATACTCTTTACCTGAACATAAAATTAACCCTTTAAGCCCTGACTACCGCTTTACAGGTGAGAGAGAAAAATGACGTAATACCCAGCCACCGGTTGAATAGTGGTAGAGAAAAATGACAATGCCCACCCAGGGGTTGAACGCTGGGTAAACACTTTTAACCGTTTTTGTATTTGCCGCGAAACAAATTATTTGTGAATTTTGATTAAGGCGCTCTGACAGAAGGGTTAAAATGATTAAGGGACGTAGGGATCGAAAGGTTAATCGCGTACAGTGATTTAAATCAGAAAAAAAATGGCCAGAGATTTTTTTAACACAGCGACGTAATACTAGAAAACAAAACATTCAATTTCAACATAATGAACAGAAAATTACAAGAGACACATTAATATTTCTTAAAGCTTTTCTTTTCTGCTTATTAGCGCGCTTTCAATTTCATTTAATATACAATTTAAAATAATTTCACAATCAGATAAAACATAACTTCAAGTCACCGACACCCCATCCCACACATTTACACACGTGTACATGCGGAAAGGTGGACATTCTAACAATAGAGAATGTCACCCTTTTTTATTGTTTCGCTTGTTTGAAAATGTTTATTCTTTAATGCTTTGGATATGTGAATTCATTTTGTTATTTTTGGTTGAATCTTGGACATGCATCATCATTTTTCGAAGATATATTTTAACTAAAAAAACTTATCGACAAAATTCGTTCAATTAGAAATTAAGAAAAAAAGATTGAAAAGTATACGATAAAAATAAAACTGACCAAGATGACCGTTGTTAACCCACAGTGTCAGCAAATGTCTTGAATTTCAGTATATAATCTTATAACTAAAAGTAACTAAAGAAATCCGCCATTTGAAAGGCCTGACTATTGCGTTGTAGATATATGGAAAGATGTATAAAAAAAAGTTACTCCCCAAATGCACAAAGATCATATGTGCATATGTGTATACGCGCGCGTTCGTATGCATAAATGTGTGTGTCGGTGAATCTTTTTGTGCTTCCATATGATAACGGTCGTCCCAGCTAGGAATGTAATTACCCATGATGCTCCATTAAATATGGCAGACGACGAAAAATTGATGTTTTGTATTAAAGGTCTGTATATTTGGTTTCGAAATAAATTCTATATTTGTCATGGAATCGAATTGGCTAAGCCATAATTTAGCCTGGAATGTTATGCGTTTGAGAAGATTAATGATAATCTTTCTTTGAATAAAGACGGTCTGCTTCTCGTAAGCTAAGCAGGAAAGCCGAATGGTGGCAGTGGAGGAAAAAAAAAACCTGCTGTCGATGTCCCCATCAAGGTACACCTTAAGAAAAAAAAAAGTTTTTTTTTACCATTTTGCGTAGTAATTAGGCGCCAGTTTCTATTGAAATACAACGCCTGAAATGAAGGTTTGGCTTTACCGGGATGGAGATACTCGTTAACACAGGTTCTACAGTCAGATATTTAGCAGAGATTGACATTTTTTTTTGGTGGTGGTGTGAGGAAATGGTTTCAAAAAAACTGTTCTATTTTGTGATACATTTTCAATTCAAAATTTCTTCTGTTAATTTCTTCTGTCTGGGATGTCCATATTTTTTCCTATTCTATTTTAAGCGTGTTAATCTTCTTTTTTCGGACATAACTGTACTTTCATCTCTGTAAGCATGTCAACGACAATATTTGAAGGAATGCGGGTGTAGCAGTTGTCGAGTTCATTGTTTGTATCGCTGTTTTGCCATTTCAAATACTTGAGGTTTCGCCACCGGGCAATCGAACGGAAGTGAGCGTTCGTGTCCGACCAGTACGTCGGGTAAAACTCCATGACCCCGGCATGCTTGGGTAGAAAAAGCGCATGCGTCAACCCGGCACCGTGCATACCAACTAAAATGTCCGTTTCGCTTATCCATTTTAATTGCTGCTCCATTGGGAACAGATCGACTTGTACACCTCTGACACTGTGCTGGCCAGTGAGAAATTTTCGCGCGTGTCGCAGTAGATCGTCTTCGTTATGGATTTTACGCGACACTAAGCCTTTTGGATTTCTCGGATGGGCGACATAATCCCGGCGCCATATGAAAAGAACGTTCAGTTTATGGCAATCTAGCTTCTTCGTCAAAGACTGG